GAGCAGGTGTTAGGTAGAGTAGCATGTATTATTTATACAGTAATTAGTGTAGTGCTAGCTAAAGTGTAGGAGCAGGTAATGCTAGTATATTTAGTATTAATAGCAGCATTATGTTTAGTCTGCTTCTATGCAGAGCATTATATAGTAATAAAAGTTACATATAAAGCTTTTCTAGTAAAATTACTTTTTTTTATGCTATATTATACAGCTTCTAGGCTTAAGTACTTTTAGTGCCTAGCTATAGTGTAATTTTTTTGTTTTTTAGCACTTATATAAGCTTTTTTTTAAATATATAGCTAAGTGCTAAAAAGTCTTATAGTATTTATCTTTTAAAATTCTTTATATATAAACTTAAAAAAGTAGCACTTTTTTAAGTTGTTATATATAGATTAGTAATTATATAACTTATATATAATTAAGTTTATAAGCTTATTAAAGCTTCTAACATATTAATTTTATTATTTTAGTACTCTAGGCTAGTCTTATTTTATAGTGTTACTTTTAATATCTCTATGTTTTTTTTAAGTTATTTATATAATAAAAAATATTTTTTATTCTTTTTATTATTACGTAGAGTTGTTAGTTACTAGTAGGATTTTATTATAATAGTATAGTAAATTACTTTTCTAGTAAATTACGCAGGTACTGCTGTTATTTAGCTGCTAGGTTGTGCAGCTTTAATAGCTTTAGTGTGCGCCTTACACTATCTCCTTTTTACTTTATATAGTAGTAGAGCTTGCTATATAATGTAAAGAATTAATCTACTATTATCTAGCTACTAAGTTGTGCAGCTTTAGTAGCTTTAGTATGTGTCTTACACTATCTTCTTCTTACTTTATATAGTAGTAGAGCTTACTATATAATATAAAGAATTAATCTACTATTCTAAAGAATAAGTAACTAAATAAAGTACTTTATAAGGTGTAAGTGCTTTATTATTACTCTTTTTAAAAGATAAGTAATAAAATAAAGTACTTTATAAAGTATAAGTACTTTATTATTACTCTTACTAATTTATAGTTAATTAAATTAACTACTAATTAGTGTTAAATAGGCTTTAACAGCTAGCTGCTTATAGTATAAGCACTTAAGTAGTAAGAGTAAAAGTAGTGTACAGTGTGCACAGTATATAAGGTAGGTAAGGTAAAGGTAACATATTTTTAGTTCTATTACTCTTATCTTTTCTCTATACAGAGGAAAAGGGGGATATCTAGATGTTTGTGCACAGAGGTTCGCGCACAAGCATTATGTGACATAGATACGTGATCCTGCTTGTGCGCGATCACTTGTATCTAGGCTGTGACGCTGCTGCTGCGTACAGACACTTTTACTATTTTACTTAGTCTGTTATAGAACATGTAATAGAGAGCTTTTTAGTCTATTTATTTATAAATAGCTAATTATTCTCTAAAGTATACTACATAGCTCTAGACTAGGCTACTGCCTTATTTTATAGTATTTAACTTATTAGCTATAATCTTTTTTGTATTTAAAGTCTTATAGATAGTAGTTAGAGCTTTTTTAAAGTTTTTAATGCTACTAAACACCTCCTTTATTTTAAAAGTAAGTGTTACACTATTAGCTCTAAAGTCTATCTAATTATCTGTGTAGAGCTAGAACTAAATTACAAGTAGGCCTTCTAAGTGTAGTTCTATTTAGAATATTATTTCTATGTTAGTTTAAAATGCTTTTTTATTATATTATATATAAAAGTAAAATTTTATAAAGAATAGGTAGAAGTTCTTTAGTAATTTTTTAAAAAGCTTTAAAAAAGCTAGCCTTAAAGCTTTTTTAGCTATAACACTTACTTTCTTTATTAAAATATTCTAAATTTTTGCTAACTTTACTTATAGTTTATATATTTAATAGGTGTAATTAGTAGCTTTTTAAAGGCTTAGTAGTTTTAAAAAGGTTTAAAATTTTATTACTTTTTAGTAAAAGTTAGTAATTTTTTATCTAAGTTTTACTAGTTTACTAATCTTTTTACTAATTTACTTAAGTTTTTTAATGTTATCTTAAATTATATTAATTTATTTTGCTAGAATAGCTTTACTTTAACTAGGAACTTCTATAGATTCTAATAAAGCTGTGTAGGCTATGTTAGAATCTAGGTTATGTTAGAAGGTAGCTATACTTTTTAAAAAAGTAGTGTTTAATGTTATAATTTTTACTTTATAGAAGCACTTAGGTTTTATAACATTTCTAAAGGATAAGTAGAACAGGTAGTAAGAGGCTAACTAGTAGGGTATACAGTTCTACGTACAGGCTAATAGGCTATTAGAGGAAAAGAGGGTAACTAGATTATAGTTTGCCCTATGTGCAGCAGTAGAGAGGCTAGGTTAAACAGTCCTGTTAGACAAAATTAGAGGTATATATAGTGTAAGATATATAAATAGTATTATAGCTTTTTAAAAAGCTAAATGCTACTTAGTTTATGTAAAGAATAAACTAAACATTAAACACACCTTTTAAAAGTTATTTAATGCAGGAACTATATACATGTGTTAGAGGTGCTAAGGGGAGCAAGGGGAGTTTATAGGAGCCTGCTAAGGAGAGCTCCCTAAGCTCCCTTAAGCTCCCTGGACTCGCGGCCTTCCTTCCTATTGGACAGCGCATTCCTCCATTATCGCAGGCAGCTGCGCTGCCCCCGTGTCTTCCGGTTGGTCCATAAACGAGCTCTGTCCCAATTCAGCTAAATTGTGGAGCACTGCTGGTGGAGTTACGCTGGTCCAACCGTAGACCGTAACATTCGGGTGGAGTTACGTTGATCCAACCATAGACCGTAACACGTACTTGCAGCTGCTTCAGGAGTATCTTACAGTGCAGGTGCTTGGTGGAGGCCTCGGCGACTACGTCTGGGCCGACGAGCGGGGGCCGTGGGGGACTGATCGACTAACGCGAGCGATTCGGCGAGAGACGGGCGAGACGCCCCCCTGCGTATCCTTACATTCCTATTAGTCTCGCTTTTCTATTAGTCTTACTTTCTTATTAGTGTCGCTTCTCTATCGCTTACTCTAGCTTATTAGTAGGCAAACCTTACCCAGGATAGACCTCGCTAAGCATCTCCAAACCTACCCATTTCAGCCTTCGGGTGGCGTTAAAACGCGTCTCCGTGGCGTACTCCAGCTACGTATCACAAAACAAGCACGTTCCCGCCCAAGTATAAAGACTGGATGGCACGTTTCTCAGCCGTGCCGCCGCTCAGGTTGTCTGCCGTACCACCCCCCATCGATGTCTAATTGGCGCATATATCTATGGAAGCAACTGCCATAGTTCCCCTCGTCGGCGCATCCCTAAACCTCGCGCGCCTCCTCGCCGGCTTCGTGAGCGGAATAACCGATCTACGTGAGCGCTACCGCAATGTCGATCTCAACATCCGAGCCGTCGTACAACGATCCCGGACTCTGCGCGCAGCGGTAGAAAGGATGCGAGCGCTTCTCCAAGAACTCGAGGGCGCACTGTCAGAGGACGAAAGAGAGAGTCTGTACGAGAGCGTCGCGGCGTGCGAGATGCTTGCCGAGCTGCTGTTTGCGCGAGTAAAGGATGCGAATGGATGCTCCAAGAAGAGGCGGAGATGGGAGAAAGTTAAGGTGCTTTGGCGGCAGCAACAGATTGACGAGTATGCGACGACATTGTCGCATCAGGTTACTTCGTTGTCATTGCATCTGCAGGTGCTGTCCATGTGAGTGCGCGGGTGATGTGATTGATTTGGTGGCGTGTCTGACTGTGGCAGGGGCGATGCTAAAGCGAGAGAGCAGGCGCGCTGGGGCGATGGGGACGGCAAGGTGGAGCGGACTTTTGGCATGGCTATTGAGAGCGCGTATGCTACCTCCTCGATCTTGTCGGCTGATGTTCTTCTCCAGGATGACGAGGACGACCGTGATTCTCTCTCGGACCAAGTCACTCTGCACGAAGATCAAGATCTGTTGTATCCAGGAACGGAGGGCGTGGAACCACTTGGCCATCACCGGGAGCCTGTTCGAGAAACGGCAAAGCTGCTACAAGAAATGCCCCCTCCGCAGCGTACGCTTCGCCTATCTCCTCTGCCCCTTCAACGTATCGCTCGCAACGCGCGACAGAGATTACAGGAAAGTAGAGTTCGGCGAGAAGATCAGCAACTACAAGAATATGGTCAGAACCTGGGATCATCGAATCAAGATGAAGAACAAGACATAGCTCGCGACATCAATACGTCCAGGCTAGTTCAAAGCATACAGAGGCCTAGGGTGTCCACGCCAGTGGGGCCGGGCGCAAGCAGTGCCAGGGGGCAGAATCAGGACCAGGACCAGAATTCCGAGGCTCTGCCTGTATTTGGGATCTATGATCCTTTCCCTTTTGTCACGACTTCTGAAAAGAAGCATCTGGCGCTCAATGGATGCGAGTCCAACCTAGATACTAGATCTGGACAAGCGGCTTCTGGCGGCGTGGAGCGCCCTGTCACTCAGGCGGAAAAGTACACCGATCCCGGTCCTAGCAAGGGAAACAGTCAAGCGGTGCTTCAAGATGGAGTACCAGGAAGGCTCAACATAGAGGGCAATCCCGGGGACGATCCCTCTTCCAGTTCCTCTTCGGATGACGAAGGTGATTCAGACAACGATGTATCTATTCCTACTCCACGCCCCAGGAGGGATAATGATTTGAGATGGATCTGGCGCAGAAGACCCGTGGAGCTCTCCAATCGAGCAAAGCGGCGTCTCAATGAGCTGGAAAATGCTCAGAAAAGGGCCCTGGAGGCTTTGGAAACCTCCTTCCAGATCACACATACCCTGCTTGTCAGGACTCTGAAGGGGCGTCGAAGACGGGAAGGTCAGTCTGAGGATTCACTCTCCGACGATGCCAGTCCAGGAAGTTGCTCAAGTCAAGCCTGCAATCCGCGCACACGTGCCACTTCGCGAGTCCTCCTGTCCTCAGAAGACTTCTTCGCAGCCACCGCAGGCCTGACGAACGAGATACGCTGCCTGCTCCGCGGGGGACATGACATCAACGCACGAAACGAATGCGGCGAAACGGTTCTCCACATCGCGGCGGCGGAGCTGGGGTACCGGACCGTACGGTTTCTCTTGTCTTCTGGGGCGAACGTTCGAGCGCGAGATAATCAGGGACGCGAGCCCTTGAACAGAGTTCCGTTTCTTTTTGATAAGAAGCCAGCCGTGCAGGAGATTGTCCATCTTCTTTTGGAACGCGGCGCTGATGCTAACGGGGGGAGACATATGGAGTCGCAACCCCTGCACTGCGCTGTCGTGAGAGGATGGACGGAAATTGTGCAGGAGCTCGTAAATCATGGTGCGGAGAGAAATGCTCGTAGGGAAAATGACAGTTGTACACCGTTGGAATTAATTACAAAGGGGTTATGTCAGAGACCAGATCCAGCGCTCGTCACGATCCTACTTGGCGATATGGACACTGGGTTGACCATCGATGTGCGCACGATGAAAAATATGGTAGAAGACATGGTGGAAACACTTGCGTGGTCTGAAGGGTTTGTCAGGAACAATAGGTTGGCCAGAGGGATTCAGGGTGAAAGCGACATCAACAAATATCGGGGCAATTACAATTGCTTGAAGGCTCTTCTCGCGCCGAACCGCTGGGGGGGACACGACGCCGAGCGGATTTCCCTCTGGCGCCCAGAGTTTCGGCATCGCGTTGATATGCAGTGTGCAGCTCTAGACAACATGTCGGATGAGCAGGTATACGAAGCGATAAAGAATTTTCCTCTAGAAGAGTAGACTTCTAAGTTATAGATAGAGGAACCTTTATAATTGGATATACAAAGGCGTTGTAAGGCCGGGTGTCCTAGAACGGGCCAGTATGGCCTCCCCTGACCTGTTTGGAGGTCACATGACCTGTGCTTCGTATATAAGCATGAATCCTGACAAGCGAGGCTTGGCAGCGATTCCTCTCTCTTATAATACACTCCTTCCTATCTTTCTCTAAAAGCTTGCTCTTAGTGCTATCTGTAAGGCCGAGATGGCTTACGTGTAAGGCCGAGATGGTGCTTACGTGCGACGGGTATATATACTATTCTGTACGCAATAATTAACTGTTGGTTGATTATTCGCACCTTTTTGGTTGTATTGGCGTAGTGGTACAGAGCTCCGTCCTTACACTATCTGTGCTACCTACCATCCTATCTTTACATTTAAATCGCTCTACAAGCCAGCATACTGCTTAAGGGCAAAATTCCCACGTAATAGTGTTAAAGCAAAACGCGAGAAGAGAATTAGATGCAACTAACGCTTAAAGACTACCTAAGAAGCTAACTAAGACTGCTGCTTCTAGTAATACTTAACTAGAATTAATACTAACACAGAAAGAAACAGAGCAAGAGATAAGTAAAAGAGATAATAGAAATCCTAATAGATTAGGCTTATTAAGCTATCTAGAAGGCGTTTAGAGCCTAGAAGGGGTTAGAAGGGCTAGTGCAGGACCAAGCAACGCACAGTCCACCTCTGTGAATTAGGCTTTAGCAGAAGCCTGCGCCTAGCTGCAAGAGCAGCAGGAAGCGCAAGAACTAGCTAGGATAATAGAAATCTGTTGTTAATTTAAAGCAGGTAATATAAGCGCACTTAAGAAGTTGCTAACTAAGGCATTAAACATTATTATACTAAAACTGTAACAATTCTACAAATCGTTCCATCTCGGGTCGCTCGGATCCTATCCGAAGGTCCCTGTATCGGCCTCAACTATGACTTGACCTAGTCCCCTGCAGTTACCCCTATTCCCTTATGTATTTAGTTGCACCTTGCCCCTGTAGCTAGCTTAGTAGTTTTCTAATATTCTTTTATACTAGGCCTATAGGTGTTAATAGCATTCCTAGGTTTAGAGTCCCCACGCACTTCTATATGCTTTTAAGTAGATTCCTACTGCATTTAGACCTATTGTCTTGCCTACGCTGTTACATTATATTAGAAAACTTACTTTTACTAGTAATAGCCTTATTAATAATATTATATTATTTATTTATTTAACTATGTCTAACTCTAAAAAGCATTTAATTTAGTTTAAGTTACTATTGTTACACACTATTATATTAAATTATTTAGTTATTATAAATAAAATTTTAGAAACTTTTTACTAACTAAAGCTTTTAAGTTTAGAACTTTTTATTCTTTATAATTAAAATTACCTTTAAAAAAGTTATAAAAATTGCGCTAAAGTAGAAACTTAAAGACTACTAATAACTTATTAGAATTAAAGATAACTACTAATGCTTAACTCTTAACTACCTTTAAACCTTAGTATAAAGCTTATAACACGCTCTAGCTATAGCTAAGGCAAGATGCCTACTACTAAAGCTAAACTACTACTAACCTTAATAGCTAAACCTTTTTTATAGAACCTAAAGCTAAAAACCTACTAGATTTAAAGTTAAACTTTAGCAGCATAGCTCTTAAAAACTAAGTTACTTAATTAAAGGTATAAATTAAATAGCTAACTAGATTAAAAACTATTAGTTTTAATTATCTCTTACTAACTACTAAATTACTTTTAATAATGCTTTAAATTACCTTTACTACACTAATAGTAAAAAAATTTTTAGGCACCTCTAAGCTTTTTTAAAGCTACTTTACTAAATACACACTTAAAATTAAGAACTTTATAGATAGCAAAGAACTTATGTTTAAATAATAGTAAGCCTCTATTATAGATAGACTTAACATTAATTTAAATTACTATTAAAGTAGGTATACACACATAGCATTAGTATAGAGACACACTGCTAGTATTACAAAGGAATACCTAGAGCCTAGATACCTAGCTAAATTAGATAACTTTTAGTTTAGAAATATAAAAAAAATAATTAAGCTTTTATAAATATACTTTATTACTAGTAATAAAAAGACAAAGGTGTAATAAGTGTTTTAGACTTTAAAAATAAGCAAAGAAAAAGCATTTTCTACTTTTAAAGCTTACTTTATTAGTGCTACTATTAAAAGGTCTATATTAAAGTTAGAATAGTTCTTTTACCTATAAAAGAAGATACTGCCTAGCCTAAAAGTACTAAACTTAGGTTTTAAACACACTTAAAAAAGCTTCTTTAAGTTAATAGTAGCCTACCTAATAGCTTATAACATAAAAAAAAGAAACACTTTTACTATTTTAAAGTAAACTATTAACTACACCTAACATTTTAATATTAGACCTATTATAGATTAATCTTAGAAAGTTTCTAGTAATACATCTAAGGCAGTATACTATTCTAGTGCACCCTGACCAGCATCTATGTTAGTACTCTAATCCACCCTAGTTACCTACTGTTAACCTAGCTAGACACCTGCCTTTAAAAGACAAACAACTTCTAGTAACTATTATAATTATAGTAAACTAAAACATTTTACTAGTAATTATCCTATCTTTAGAGTACAAGAAATTAAAGTAGAGTAATAAAAATTTAAAAAAAAGTTTATAGATATAAATAATTATAACTTAAACTTTTCTTAAATAAAAAATATAAATGCTTAAAAAAACTTTTTATTCTAAGCTTAAATAAGTATAACTTAGTAAATATTAACTTATTACACTTATTTAAAAGAAAACATTTTTAAGTCTTTACTATTTTATACTTAAAAGGTTGAATAGACTCTCTGCTAGCTAGCACTTAGTGTTAGCAAATGCGTACGAGACGGAGAGGTTTGCACGGTGTAAACATCGCACAGGGGTGTTAGGTAACTAGTGTTAATTACTTCTTATTGTTTCTATTATACAAAGGAAAGGGGTTAATATAGTCCTAAACTCTGCGCACAGATCTCTGTGCACAGGGATCTAGGCGCATCTAAGCCACGTGACTATTAACTAGGCGCCTAAATATTACTATTTAGACATTAGCAACTTTTTATTTTTTCTTTATACAGAACTTGCCTTATTTACACATATAGTAAACAGGTTGCTGTAGGGCCCTTTTTACCTATCTTATATAGGCTTAAGTCTGTTAACTAACGCTTTAACTCTAATAGTTAGTTAGTTGTACAAAATTAGTTTTTTAAAAGCAGAGTTTAGCGCCTTCTTTATATAGGCATCTATAGGGTTGTCTCTTTTATTAATCTACTTAATCTCTATAATCTCTCTTTTCTTATATAATTTTTAAATTAACATAATATTAATTATAAGTCTTTTCTTATTTATTATTCTAAGCTTTATAAGACATTTATATAGAGATCTTAAATCTGTGCATAGTATAATAAGTACAAGAGGTATTCTAAGCATACGTGTAATCTAGTTAATAGTTGTACTTAGTGTAATTACGCAGTTAAATCTTCTTACTATTCTATACAGCTTACTAGCTAGGACAGAGCAGGTAACGCGTTTACACTTAAAGAAGTTCTAGTGTACAATATTGCCTATAATTTTAAAGTTATATAAGTTTTTAGTTTACTGCTTAGTTTTAAGAATAATAAAAAAGCTAAGCTGTAAACTTAGGTCCTTATTATTTATAAATAATCTATTAGTAAAGATAAATAACTTTGTATAAAAGAGATTAAGTAGTATGTATAATAATTCTTTATTCTAGTTGTTAATTTACTATTAGATTTGTATGTTTAATGCCTTAATATTGTTGTACAACAGCAACACAACTTAAGCGGCAGTAGACAGGTTAAATGCTGCCTTAGGTTAACATACTAATGTAATATAGGCACCTCGCGCGCGCTGTTTAACGTACTTCTGCGCGGCATCCTCCACCTTAGACTCTATTATGTGTAGATTCCTAGCTTAACCTTTTTATATAAAAATAATATTATTTTATATAAGGTAAATCTTTTCTTTATTAAATTTAATAGCCTAATTATGTAATAGTATAGTTTTAGGCTTTACTTAGAAGTTAGCTTTAAGCAATTTTTTTTTCTCTCTTTATGTAAAATTAGCTATAATAATACTAAGAGTATTATCTGTCTGCAGTCCTGTAATACTAAACACTATTAGGCCTTTATGTGTAATTAATAAGCATAGATTGTATAATAAAGTTTTTATAAAAAGTCTATTTTTATAATAGTTATAGTATGTTTTAAACTAATACAAGCCTAACTCTGCTGCGCTGTATAGTAGTTGTACAACTTTAAATATTGTGTGTGGAGGGAAGCTTTTATAGAGTTCTTTTAGTAGTTATGTAAAAAGAGTGTGAACAAGCTTGTCTATTAATTATACATATACCTAAGTAATATTGCGTAGTTTACAGTGCATGTTGTATAAAGCTATTAGTAATAGGCTAATAGCTAGGATTAACCTCTAACTTATTTTCTAAATTATAGAAGACTGTGTAAGGATCTCCTTCTTCTCCTTATCTAAATGTCCTGCAAACATAAGTTGT